AAACCCTGTTAACGCTAATCTCTATAGTTACTGCTGCTGCTGCTGCTGCTGCTGCTGCTGCTGCTGCTGCTGCTGCTGCTGTTGCTGCTGGTGGTGATGGTGATGGTGGTGCTGCTGCTGCTGCTGTTGCTGCTGGTGGTGATGGTGATGGTGGTGCTGCTGCTGCTGTTGTTGCTGCTGGTGGTGGTGGTGGTGGTGATACTGCTGCTGGTGGTGGTGGTGGTGCTGCTGGTGGTGGTGGTGGTGCTGCTGCTGCTGCTGCTGCTGCTCGGCAACCGTTGCTACGCACACAGTAGCGGCGCAGCAGCAGTATTGTGGCAGCAGTTATTATTATTGGAGACCTGCTGTTTAGGTCGTTGCCATGCTATCCACGTTTCCTATTTCGTCTCCCTGATTTAACTCTATATAAATTCATATAAGGTTATTACTTATTTCATCTCTCTTTCTCATTGTTTCCCACGCCTCTTCCCGCTATCGCGTCTCTCTCCGTCTCTCTCTCTCTCTCTCTCTCTCTCTTGTCGCGCGAATGTTTGCCTTGATGGGTTTAGGCCCCCTTAGCTAAGCTGAGAATGGGTCGGGGCGAGGCGGAGAGGTGGCCATTCACAGGAGAGCGGCGAGAGAGAGAAAGAGAGAAAGAATGGGGCGAACGGACGAGCACGCACGGAGGGGAGAGGGTGAGAGAGGGAGAAGGGGAGTGAGAGAGAGCGGGGAGAGAGGGAGAGAGAGAGAGCGAGAGAAAGAAAGAGAGAGAGAGAGAGAGAGCGAAGGAGAAGGGGAAGAAAATGATAGAGAGAGAGAGGGGGAGAGGGCAAGAGAGAGCGAGAGATCGAGAAAGAGAGGGAGAGAGAGAATGTATAAGGGGGCTCTCCCTACCTTTTATACCTCCTCCCATGCACCCTTCCCATCCTCTACACCTCTTCCCTCTCCTTCCGCCGCCTTCTTTACCTCGCTCATCCTCTCTCTCCCGCCGTCTCTTACACCTTCTCCTCCTTCTCTCTCCCTCACCCCTACACCTCCTCCCTTTCCACGCCTCACACACCTCCTCTCTCTTTACCTCGCTCCCCCTTTCTCTCTCCCCGCCTCACACACCTCCTCTCTCTTTACCTCGCTCCCCCCCTCTCTCTCCCCGCCTCACACACCTCCTCTCTCTTTACCTCGCTCCCCCTTCTCTCTCCCCGCCTCACACACCTCCTCTCTCTTTACCTCGCTCCCCCTCTCTCTCCCGCCGCCTCATGCACCTCCTCCTAAAGAGAGAGGAGGTGTGTGAGGCGGGGAGAGCGAGGAGGTGTAGGGGTGAGGGAGAGGGAACCTCGCTCCCCCTCTCTCTCCCGCCGCCTCATGCACCTCCTCCTCCCTCTCCCTCACCCCTACACCTCCTCCCTCTCCACGCCTCACACACCTCCTCTCTTTTTATCTCGCTCCCCCTCTCTCTCCCGCCGCCTCACGCACCTCCTCTCTCCTCACCCCTCTCCTCCTCTTCCCCTCTTCCTAGCAGACCAGCGGCTGTGAGATTCCCCTGTGAGGCACACAGCCGGGGCCAGCAGGTATAGCACAGGTATAGGACAGGTATAGCACATGTATAGGACAGGTATAGCAGACGAACCTCTCCTTGCTCGCGACGGCGGTGAAAAGTCGTTCGTGTGCCTCTCGGCACGCGGCTATACAACTTCCTCCTCCTGTAAGTTCCTGTGTGTAAGTCCTTGTATTCCCGCTCGTTCACACACTCCATCTAACGCCACACCTCGTCTCTGTGCGCAAGTTCTTGTATACCCGCTCTCTCTCTCTCTCTCTCTCTCTCTCTCTCTCTCTCTTAACTGTCTCGATCTTCTGTCCTCTCTCTCCTCTCTCCCTCGCGTCTTTCGCTTCTTCTCGCTCTCTCGCTCTTCTGCTCTCCGCTCTCTCTCTCTCTTTGCGCGCTCTTTCTCTCTCTCGCGCTCCGCTTTTTCGCGCTCTCGCGCTCTCTCTGTTCTTTGCTCCCTCTCTCACCACACACATCAAAGCTATATCTCGTCGCTCTATGTTAAGGCCATGAGTGGTATCGACCGTGTTCTGCTCTTTCTCGCCTCTTTCGCTCTCGCGTCTCTTTCTTCTCTCTCCCTTCATAAGACTTCTAAACGCACTTATATATTATGGGGTGCCAACGGTAAAAATATTATTTAGACACTAGTATTCTTAGCGTATAAAGTTCATTTATTTTATAAATATGCCTTTATATAATAAATAATATATTATATAAATTGAAATAAACATTATTTAACATATAATATTTATATAATTAACATAAGTACATTATGTAACATATAATATTATTATATAAATAAATAAATACATTTATTTAACATATAATTATTATATAATATATTATTGCTTAAATTAATGTTTTATGTTATTTTATAATATATTAATATAATTATATAACTATAATTATATAATTGTATTACTATAATTATATAATATATTATTATATTATATAAATATAATATATTATATTAATTATATAAATATATTATATAATTATATAATTACATTATTTAACATATAATATATTATATAATTTAAATAATAATTATTAACATATAATATATTATTATAATTATATAATGCATTATTTAAACTCATATAATTATATTATATAATTATTATAATTAGATTAATATATTATATATTATATAATTATATTATATAATTTTATTATATATTATATAATTTATATAATATTTTTACGTTCGCCACCTGGTCTTAAAATGCTCGGTGGGGCCCCTTACACGTGACAAACGCAGCCCAAAAAAACAAGTGANATCGCTTTTTGCGTTTGCTAACCAGCCGCCCGGTCGCCGCGGGAAAGCGCCGAGTACTAGGTGCCTAGATGGGCTCCCCGTCGATGTGAGGTCGTTCTGTAGGGTATCCGTGGGGGTAGTGTGGGGGCAGTCTATGTGGCTTGTGTCGGCAACCATGTCAGGGAAGGCCCGCCTTCTTGGGGGGATGGAAAATGGATTCCTCCCCTGAGTCTTTCTTTTGCATCGCTTCCTCGATTTCATTCCCTCTCTCTTTCCCTTCTTTGATCTCTCTCCCCCATCTCTCTCTCTCTCTCTCTCTCTCTCCCATGGCAACAGCAATAGCTACTATGTTTATTTGCTCTGTCCATCTGTCCCCGCGGATCCGTGTTCACGCGTTTACCACGGTGTCGTAAAAGCCACGTGAAAATCGTTGAAATGGGTTTGTCAGAGCGAGTGGCTTTCGTCTGTCCAACGAGAACAAGTGCTGCCATCTGTTGTTTACAATCGTAAACTTAAACCGCTTGCATATATCTATTTCTCGCAGGCAGAGAAGGCGATACAGAGAGGCGCAGTCGCCGTCGTGTTTGACGTCACCGACAACCCAGACGCCGTGCTGCAGGTAACTAGTGCTGCCATCTAGCGACGCTTGTAGTAGCAAACTCAACATCTCGCTATTATAACATTCGGTTCCCTATATTCACTAAGTCTATCATATGACTTTGCTGATGTAAACGGTAACAATATGTTATGTTGTTTGCAACATGAAAACCCTAAAGTATATCATCATGATAGCGTAACAAATGCTGCCTAAATAATTAATTACTGACAGGAAGGACAAACACACCACAGATTCGACTATGTTGTTTTATTGACTTGGCCCAGCATTTGCACCACGGTGGCTGCTCTAAGCTGCCTTCCCCGCTGTGTTGTGTTTGTATTACTGTTTCCTCCCCGAACTGAATTGCCTATCTCACGAATAAGTCATCAGACTGCATAAGTGTAGACAAATTGGGTCTTACGTATTAGCGGCCTTTTCACTGATTAAGTGTTGAATAATAAATGAGTAAATTGCCTCGGTTCGCATCTTTCGAAAGAAACATCTACCTCGCTCTGCTTTTTCCTTTTCTTTTTCCTTTCAAACACTGATTGCCGCCCTGACAATGCTAATTAAATCCAAGACAAAACTTCGCATACCGTGGAAAAAATTAATTAATTATTTCATTAATTATATAATGTAATTTCGTCACCCCACCCACCCCTCCTCCGAAACATTTCCGCGTTCTTATCAAATCTCATTCCTGTGTCGTTTGCCTTGCTGCTTGCTGCTTCTCAAACATTGATTTCCGACTTCACGGTGCTAATTAAGCCACTTAATTAAAAAAAATTGATTAATTAGGAAATAATTTCTTCGCCCCGTCCCTCCGTAATACGATCGTGATGCCACGTTGCCGTGACGATAACATGCGTTGTTGTTTCGTACAGCTGCGGGGCCCGGCGGACCAGCCGCTGCTCTCACGGCCAGTCGTGCTGATTCAGGGCCCCGACGCGGCGAAGCTGATGAACATCGTCAACACTCAGAAGATGGCGCACGCGCGCATCGCCTACCAACCAGGCGACGACGACGATGAGCAGGTAGCGCCATCTGTTGAGAGATTAATGAAATAAACGAGATTGATGTCACACAGACACACTTTGCTTATGCGCATATATATATATTGTGCATATATATTTGAGATTCATCACGCGGCCACTGATGTGATTGCATGTCTCTGACGATCGCACGCTTTTACTCTCATGCTCACACATATATATTTGCAGTCAGGGAAGGATGTGCACTCACTCACTCGCTCACTCGCTTGCTCGCTCACTAACTCACTCACTCTGCCCCTCTCTCTCTCACGCTCACCCTTTCTCACTCTTTCCCCCGTCTATATCTATATAATATCTATATTTGTCTATATCTATGTATATTTATATATTTGAAGTCAGGGAAGGAGTACATAGAAATCAGAGTGTTCTTTGCCTTCTTCTCTTTCTACCTTTCTCGCTCTCTCCCCCTCTATATCTATCTATCTATATCTATTCATCTATATCTATTCATCTATATCTATTCATCTATATCTATTCATCTATATCTATTCATCATTATCTATCTATCTATATCTATATAATATCTATGTAATATCTATGTATATCTATATATTTGCAGTCAGGGAAGGAGTATATAGAGATCGGAGTGTTCTTTGCGTTCTTCGTCATCGTCTGCATCGTCTGTGTCCTCATCGTTCTCAAGATGAAGTGGAGACAGCAGTCGGACGAGGTGGGTATCACGATTGATTACCGATATCTGATCAGCAGTATCTGATCGTTGATATTTGATCAGCAGTATCTGATCGTTGATATTTGATCAGCAGTATCTGATCGTTGATATCTGATTGTTGATATCTCTAATTTGATCAGCAGTTTCTGATCGTTGGTGTCTGATCAGCCACATCTGATTGTCGATATCTGATCAGCAGTATCTGATCATTAATATCTGCTCATCAATATCCGTTTAATGACGTCTGCTCAGCCAGATATACTCATTAAAATTGGCTCATCAGTAGATCAATTTTATCGATGGCTACTAATAAATAATAATAATAATAATAATAAATAATAATTGATATCTGTTGGGAATGATTGATCGTCCTGCACTAAGTATTAAGTATTAAGTATTAAGTATATGAACATGTGCAGCTCTAACATGGTTGCTATGCCTACATGATAATATGTGTATGTATGTGCGTGCGTGCGTTTCGCTTTATTGATCTTCAGGTGCATTTTGCACAGAAAAGCACCTGAAGAGGAATAAAGCAATATTAACGTTTCTGTAAAATATGTCTCCAGTTGTTTTAATTATAATATCTACATATATAATCATAATAAGCCGATTGCCTGGGTGCGCCGACTCTTCCGCCCCGCCCCGCCCCCGCCCCGCGTGCTCCGCACCATACGCAGTGGGAGCATTCGCGGGGAGGCGCGCGGCGGTCGGGCGCGCCGCAGGGGCGCCGCGGGCAGACGTCGGATCTCGGCCGATTTGAACGCGGCGCGCTGTTCGTCGAACACGGCGGGCGGCCGAGCGACGCCGGCGCGACCTAGGGGCGGCGCGCGGGCGGAACCGGACGGCGGCGCCCCCTAACCGCGCGCGCACGCTGCGGGGCGGGGAGCGGAGGATGGTGCGGACATCGCGCAGGGCGAGAGCTTCGAGCGGACGTGACGGCGCTTCGAGCGCGCGAGCTGCACGAGGGAGCGTCACTGTGGTGGTCGTAGCGCGGAGGGCGGTCGGGCGCGACCTTGACCGGCGTGAAACTCTGGACCTCGTGGGGCGCGGCGCGCGGCGGTGCATCTGCGTCGAACGGTCGCGCGTCTTGCGATCGACGAGAGGCGGGGGACGCGAGACATAGCTGCAGCGCACCTCGCAGAGGACTGGAGAGGGCGCCGCGGAAGCAGTGCGTCGTCGACGTGCAGAGACCGTGCGAGGCACCGAGGATGTGTGACGCGCAGAGACGTGTGAGGGCGCACCGGATGGAATGGCGTCGACGCGCAGAGACGTGTGAGGCGCACGAGGAATGTGTCGGATGCGGCAGAGACTGCTGAGGGCGCCACCGGAGGAAATGTGTCCGAATGGCGCGAAGACTGTGAGGCGCCAGGAGGAATGTGTCAGATGCCGCAGAGACAGTGTGAGGGCGCCGAGGAATGTTTGTCGAAGCGCAGAGACGCTGCGGGCGCACCAGTGCGGTGCACGACTGCGGACGCACGCAGCAGCGATGGACGAGGGCACACAGTTATGCCGGGATGCCGGCCCGGCGGGGCAGAGGCGCGGAGGCGCCCACCGTTCGGGGGATGCACCAGAGGGGCGGAAGGCGCCGACCGGGCGACACAGATTGCCGGCGCCGCGGCACAGACAGTCGCTGCAGCTAGCAGCCGAGTCGGCTGGCATCCGTCGCGCGCTCCCCCGCCTCCCGCCGGCGAAACTCCCCCAGCGAACCTCCCCCGCCGCGCGGCCGGGGGAGGCGTCGCAGAGTCGCGAGGCCTGAAGTGCGAGCGAGAAGCGGCGCGCTGACAAGCGCGCGGCTGTCATCAGCAAGCGCGAGCGCCTAAAGGCCGAGCCACTTATCGTCGATCTTCTTCCCGAGAGTCGCCGCGATGCGGACGTCTTCGGACGCGCCGGCGCCCTCGTGCAAGGCGGACGTGGCGGCGCGGCCGGTGGCCGGGGAGGAGAGCGCGCCGGCTGCGGTGGGTCGGGGGAGGAGAGGAGAGGGGGGGGTGGGGGAGGAGGAGGAGGAGGAGGGGAGGGGCAGGAGGGTGGTGGTGCTGCGCGGGGTCGTCACGTACACGGTGCAACAACGGCGCGAGATCAGTACACGATCCGGCGACGGGTTCAGCAGGGCGAGGTGCGCTTCTGGCGGATGCAACGACCCCCTGCGCGCCCACGCACCAAGCCCGCCCGGCGCCAGGCCAGCCCCGCCGCTAATCCATCGCAACGCAAGAAGGCGCTCGCCGCGACGCGCCGTCCCCGCTCGCCAGCGAGGACAAGCGAACAGCGGGGTGCGAGGCGGCGCTGGCGGGCGACAGCGGTGGCGGCATAAAGATGGCTGCTGTTGCAGCGAGTCTGGCGGGATGCAGACGGTCGACTCATCGTGTACCGGATAATCATGGTGAAGGGGGTGGGGGTGGGTTGGGGGGTGGGGATGCGCTTGTGCTAGCTAGATGACTGATTGTGTATTTAATTTATTTATTTATTTTATTTCTTATTTT